CTAACCAATGTCCTGTACAGCTGCAACATGACCTCCCAACTCCTATACTCAATGCACTGACTAATAAAGGCAAGCGTACCAAAGTCCTTTCTTCAGGTAGTGTGAATGCATAGTTGATGGGTTCTAACCATCGCTATCTCTGTTGCTGCTTCAAATCTGGCACTGGAGGCTCCTGAGCCTCTCCCTTCTCAGCTAAACTATGATGGCAGCACCAAACTCATTCTGACCCAATCTCAGGATCTGGCAGCATCTATGGAGAGAGAAACAGAGTTAACGTTTCAGGTCCAGTGGCCCTTCCTCAGAGCTAGTAACAGCTAAGAAAATGCAGTGTATATGTTGAAGACAGTGGGTGGGGCTAAAGGGGTAGCTGATAAGTGGAGACAGAACCCGAGAGAGAGAAAGACAGTTGGGCAAAGGGACGGATAATAATAAGCCAGGGAGAAAGAAAAGCTGATAATGGGGACCATTGGTGGGTGAGAATGGGTTGGCTGGGCTGAAAACAACATCGAGCACGGTCGAATGTTTTACTTTGACCCCATGACAATTGGTCACTATGCAATCGTGTTTCAACTGGGATTAAGCACATGATCGATAAACAGGGTCCATTCAGTGTGTGGGAAAGGAACAGAATAGGAAGCTATTGGGAGCACTATTGAGGAGTTGGTACAGGGACGATGGGTCGAGTGGCCTCCTCCCATGTTGCAGAGCCTGGTTTCCTTATCTAACCGCATATTTCTCAACGAGTATGAATATGAAAACATGAAACATTTTGTGCGTAAAAAAGAACACGGTTTCTCCCCTGCGTCGCTTGGCCGCAATTTGCTCTGACTCAATGAGTGAAATGTGAGCTGCTTGAAACGGGTGTTTGGCACAAATGGCAATCTGTGCTGGGAACTGGCATTTCCAAGTCCCGAGCCCGGGAGAACGCTGCTGAGTCCCTTTGCTAGTTTCCCGGGTGTGTGTTGCAGAGTGCATCCTCTTGGCGGGGGGTGGGTAGGGCGTTGGGAAATATTATCAAATATTAGGTTCCATTTGGGGGAAGGGCTCCCTATTCACCGCCAAACCTTCAATCACATGCAAACTGTAAACACATATACTTAAAAAGATTTTCATTCTCTTGCTCTCCCCGTCCCGAAAATCCGCTGTATTGTTGCTGAAATGGTATAAAACAACCCACAATAGATGAGGCATAAAGAGGTGTGTGTGTGTGTAAATGCAGAATGCAATATTCCCCATGGTTTAAACTGTCATTCTAAGTCTGTGTCCCGTTTTGCAGCGCGCTTTGAACTTGGCACTACAGCCTTGCACAGCACACCATTTAAAACATACGACTTCCATGTTCTCTCTAACGCTTGCAAACCTCCAAGCCAGGTGCTGAACCAGATGGAGTTGTTTTCTACAACTGATGAATGCTTTAAACTTTGCAAATCAGATTTCACAGTATTCTTATTTCTCGAAATCCCCATTTAAACGTGGTTAAATAAGCTGTTTATGTACTTTTTAAATTTGTTGTATCGAATACTCCCCTCGTTCGAAATTGCAAACAGCTTGGACCGTTTTCTAATTATCTGCATTTAAAACCTTGCCTGCAATCTCTGCAGAAAGCAAAACAAAAATGATGATGCAGAGACTGACACACGGTTCACACTTTGTACTAACACGGAGTACCGTGTCCTCCTCTCCTGCCAGGTTTCCAAATTGCACACACATGTGGTTTGGAAAAAAAGCTCATGATGAGGATTCTGGCAAGTGAGAGGGGCGACAATGAAGGCATTAGGTTTCCAGATGATAATATACTGATTCAGGGGCCACGAAGAGTTAAAGAGACACCATCACCAAAGAACAGGAGTTTGCCTTCCTGAACCATTCTGCCGATTATAAAAGTCCCAAGGACACTCCAGCAGTGTAAGCCCCTCTCTCACAGGGTTTCTATCACGCCCCATCCCACATCACTGCCAGCCTTACCTCACACCGATCGCAAAATACTTCACAAGCCTCCTTCCAGAAGGACTTTGAAATTTGGAAGGACATTTTGCCAGTGTCTGACTACATGCAAGAGGTGAGCTAAATTTATCTTTACACTAAATAACATCAAAGTAAGAGATTCGAGGAAAAATCGTCTTTATAGAAATTTACGTTGACCAGTAAGGCATATACGGTTTATTTTTTTTAATTGCTAAACGATTATCTGAATGTTTCCACTTATTTGCTTTCGAGGAATAATGGATGCATAATGTATTGAATGGAGGATGTGTCCCCATCTCCACTGAGTTACATCCAAGTGACTGAAAATGTTAAACTACCTGCACATTTTATTTTTGTTTTCCTTATTCAGTCTAACATCTGCTTTGCAGGGCACCGCTTTTCAATTTTTGACTGGCCATCATGAAGCTGTGCTCCACACTGTGTCTGATCAGGTTACTCTGCGCCCTGCATGGAACAAGTGCTTTTGTATCTTCAGTGAATGTCTCCAGCGTGTTCCTTTCGTCAAGCTTCAGCGATAAAGCGACGTCCGGGAGAAAAGACCTGGGACCCGGGGATGTCCCGAAAGCCAGGCGGAGACGATACATCTCCCCGACTGATAAATCGGTTATTCTCGATTACCACAATAAGGTTCGAAGTCAAGTCAACCCACCGGCTGCGAATATGGAGTATATGGTGAGTGCCTTGTCTCATTTCTGAACATCATCCCTCCCAGCTGGGGTGCCTGCTCATCAATCAGTAAATCTGAAGGCTTCAGAACGGACACATGTCTAACGCTGATTTTGCTTCACTGTTCTTAGTAGCTTCGCACCCCCTGCCGGAGAAACGCTTTCAAAGCACGGCAAATGCAATGTGATTTTTTTTCAAATCCCTTTGTTCAGTTTCAAGTTCCCGGGAATAAGACAAAAAGGGGGATGTGAACGATTTACTGGCGCACAGGAAATGAATTACTGTTAATGCTGAAATAGATTGGTGTCGGATTTCATGTCCTTCTATAAAGGGGAATTTCACGAATACAAATAAGTTCGTTTGTCAGTGTGTGTGCATATGTGTGTATGCACCTGTGTGTTTCTCTGTGTCCACAGGTGCCTCTTCCAGTGTATATGTGTGTGTATGTACGTGCCTGTGTGTTTCTCTGTGTCCACAGATGCCTCTTTGTGTGTGTGTGTGCGCCAGTGTGTTGGGAAGAGTCATCAAAAATCAGAAAACAAACTCTTTGGGAACTATTAAAACCTGTCAATTTCTTCACATCCACTGGAATTAAATGACTTGAGGTAACTAACAAACTCCAACAAAACTGCTGATGACCAAAGTGCAGACAGTCATGCAAAGGCATTCAGCCATTACAGTGATGGCATGGTTTTTCCCACCGTAGATGTCATCGGTATGTGGCCATCAGTTGGTACCAGAACTAGTTTGCACCTGTGTCCTTGTTGGCCTGAGCACTCGCCACCTGTTGCTCACTGTCCCTTATTTGTCACCCCTTTTCTGAACCCCCTCACTGGTTCTCGCCTGTTAGCCCTTGCAAGCCCTTGCTGCTCATTTGCTACACTTATCGCATTGGTTTAATGTGGTAGAAATTGCCCTGTCTGTTGTCTGATCACACACTGTGTAGAGAAGACTCAACACCAGGTCAGTCAAGGATACACAGCAGTGACTTGCTCAGATTCCTTCAGCAGCACCTTCCTAATCAATGCCTTTTACCACCTACAAGGACAAAGGTAGCAGATACATGGAAACAACAGCACCACCAAGTGCCTTGACTTAGAATTATCTTGCTGTTCCTTCAACTGTTGTATAGTCAAAATCCAGGAATTTACTTCCAAACAGTACTGTGGGTATACCTGCATCTCAGTTTATGTGGCTACCCATCACCAGCTTTAAGAGCAATTAGGGATGGGCAATAAATTCTGCCTAACCAATGAAAGCCACATTCCATGAATGAATAAAATAATATATGTATATTGACCATTTAAATTGCCAAAAGATAATCCAGTCTTCTGTTAGATTAGATCGTGGTGCTTTTTGAAACATTACAATCACATCTTGAGACGGTTATTTCAGGGTCTGTCAGAATTGCGCGATTCTAAAATATGCTTAAATATTCCCATTTTTATTTAAGAATTGCAAGTTCTTTTTTTCAGAGAAGAGGGTATGGCAGTGTTTGCAATTTCTATTTCTTTCTTTGCTAAGTCTTCTGTGCCATCTTTCATGCAGGCAGCTCTCTGGCAATGTCAGGATGGGCACTGCACCAATATCTGCGGGAAATGCACCCTGTGTAGTGCCAGTGTGACAAAGTGCAGGCTTCCAAGAATAGCATAAAAGTAAGAGGTTTCGAGTCACCACACTACCAGGTGGACGGTGCTCCTGTGCAAATGCATTTCATGGGGTTTGTATGGGCAAATTATTACAACTACCAAGCTTAAAAGATTATGGTGATCTCATTTGAGCAGGTTAACAGCTCATTAAGTTTCATGATGCAGCTCACACTTTTTTTTAACCATAATTAAAGCATAAGTGTTGAGCTTAGGGAGGGAGTTCAGGGTTGTCCTCTGTCTCTTTGGCTCTCTCTTTGTTTCTGTTTAACGGTCTCCCTTGCTCTTTCCCGCCTTCCCTTTAAGATTCTGGAACAAGCATTGCAATCTGAGTGTCTTTGAGTCAGCCAAATTCCTTGGAGTTAGTCCAGTGCATTACTTTTCCATTCTAGTACTGTCAGTTTAAATTATATTTCTTTAGAAAAGACAGAATGAAGGGGGTTGTCGTGAAATCAGCTTAATTTCTCATTACAGGTAGGTGTTTAATTTTAAAATATGTTATGTTCATTTCATGTAAATTAAGGGGAGCAAAACACTTTGTATCTCATAATCTGTTGTCAACAGATCAAATCTGATTTCCAAAACTAGATATTTACAATACTTGTTTCTTGTTTGTAGCTTCAGAAAATAACACTGCCTAATTATGTCCAGAACAGATTAATACTTAAAAAGGGTGCAAATGCTACTTTGTTTTTTTGCTTTTGTTGAACTACATATAGCACTGGATTTTCAAAGTTGACAATTTGGAACAGACTCATTTTCCCCGTAGATAGTGGCTATAAAGCTGGAAAAACGTTGGTGCTACTGGTGGATGCATATTTATTGCCATTTTTTGCCTACTATTTTAAGTCAAACATGAGCTCACTTGCAATAAACAGGTTAAAATCATGTAAATGCTAAAATGTCATACACTAGTATCACCAATGGTATTTATCAGTTTAATCTGCGAATAACCATCTTTAACTCCTTATGTTAGTTGAAAGCAGGCCAATTGGAAATGTTACATCAAATGAGCACTAAATGAGCATTTGTTTGCTTTTGATTGGACTGCTGGAGGTTTCTAAAAGCCCTGTGACATTGCCAATATTGAAGAGCAGCTGGTTTGCAGCTTTAGAAAATTAGACCACCAACAAACGGATGGTAAAAAGGGTGTCAGCCTTTCATCAGCATCATTTGTAACCATTTCTAGCAGAGATTTGAATGTTTACACACGGTAGCAAAAACAGACTTTAGAAGCGACTGAGTCGAAAAGGTCACAGAAATGAGGAGAAAAACTGAAAGGACAAAACATTAGATACAAAGAAGGCAATAACTTGAATTACAGAGATTTGACCAGCCAATTCTGTAGTATCAATAAACATTGACCCCTACATCACACGGGTTGATAATTACTGAACCATCCCTATGAAAGCCAAGTTACAAAATGTTTTGCCCATCCACATAAGGTTGTTGTTAACCTTTATGGTATTAAAGGAGGTTGCTCATTGTCCTAATTACAGTATAACATCACATTCTGAGTGCATGGTGTTAACATAGGTTCGTGTACCAATGCAGAAACTGAAATTTGGATGATATAGCAAATTAAAATTGGTATCAGTGAATACTTTGTCAAAATGTTAAAAATACAAACACAAGCTTAGCTATCAATTGTACTGCATGTATTTGCAGTGGATGGCGTACATATTCTTATTTCAATGTTGGGGCAATTACATGTGTAAATCAGAGCCATCCTCTCTTCAACACCTCACCCGCAGTTCCCATGTGAGCTAATGTTGTTAAAAATCTCTTCAACTTGTCAAGCTTTTCTTGAAAAACAATCCTTGATTCAACATCCTTGAATACTACCAACCCATCTCCAGCTTCCGTTTCTTTTCTGAAGTTGTTGAATGTACACATGCCTCCTAAATCTGTTCCTATCTTCCAGGAGCCTGATGCTTGAATCCCTCCAATCATGTTTCTGCCTATGTCACAACACTGAAACTGTTTTCATGCATGTCACAAATTACATTCCAAGTGACTGGGACCATTGTAAATGATTCCTTCTCATCCTACTTGACCTGTCTGCAACCTTTGACATGGTTGATGACACTATCCTCTCCACTGCCTGTCTAGTGTTAACCAGTTGGCTGGGATTACTCTCACTTGGGATTCATTCTTATAACTATCTGATGATAACCAGAATATTACTTGAAATTGCTTCATTTTTCTGCTCCTGCAGTGTTATTTCTCACGTTCTCAAGGATCTAACCTTGGCAACTTTCTGTTTCCCATTTACGGACTACTGTCTGCAGCACCATCAAAAAAAGCACAACGTTCGTTTTCATATGTACGCTGACGATGTCCAGCTTTAATTCACCACCCCCTCTCTCAGCTCCTCCGCTGTCGCTAAATTATGAGGCTGCTTATCTGTCATTTGGTGTTGGATGGGCACAAATTTCCTCCAATTAAATTTAGGGAACATTGAAGCCATTGTGTTCAGTCTAAGCTCCAAACTTTTGTTCCCTCGCCACTTACTCCATCCTTCTCACTGGCTACAGTCTGAGACTCAACTCAAATTTGTTTGCGAACTTGGTGTAGTAGTTGAGAGAGGTGAGTTTTCAATCTCACATTTTTCCTTCATGGACAGTCTATTTCCATTTGTGAAACAGCTGACTTTGTCCCTGTCTCAGTTCATCTGTTCCTGAAACCTCATTGGGTGCCTTTGTTACCTCCAAATCTCATGATTCCAATGCACCCTAGCTGGATTCCCATAACCTAGCCTACAAAATGCTGCTTGGCCTGCTGTGTTCATCCAGCTCTACACCTTGTTGCCAAAGAAACTCTGCCTATATTCAAATTTACAGCAAGACTTTTTCACCCAACACCATTGTGCTTTCTGATTTACATTGTCTACCAGGTTTGTAATGTAAAACAGAAGTCTTCAAAGAGAATATTACAAAAGGCAAGTTAAAAGTTTTTTTTAAACTTTTCTTTATAATGGAACCCAAAGCCAAAGAGTGTTGCTCCAAGTTTCACCCTCAAATTATGAGCCATTGCATGCCAATGCCTGTTTACCCTCCTAATCAGGGTGGGATGGCCGCTCAGTGATTAGCACTGCTGCCTCACAGCGTCAGTGACCCAGGTTCGATTCCAGCCTTGGGTGTCTGTCTGTGTGAAGTTTGCATATTCTACTTGTGTCTGCGTGGGTTTCCTCCAGGTGCTCCAATTTCCTCCCATGGTCCAAAGATGTGCAAGTTAGGTGAATTGGCCATACTAAATTGCCCATGGAATGTGTAGGCTGGGTGGACTAGCCACGGGAAATGCAGGGTTACAGGGATAGGGGTAGGTGGGTTGGTCGGGTTAAGATGCCGTTCGGAGGGT